ATAAAACTATATCACAGGTTTTAAAAAATGGTAATAATTTTGACAAATTTAAATAATTTATTTAATTTTCATTCTGAGCCAGAATGTTGACTATTATACCTGCTATGTCTTTAAATGCATCACCTTTCTGTTGCTGGGCGGCGTTGCGCTCTTTTTGGACATCTTGCTCTTGGGCTCCGGGGTCCCGATGCTGGGCAGAGGACGACTCTCCACACAAGCCAGCATGCAGTTCTGGTAGAGCGGAGAGCGAACAAACCTGGTGTAGCTGTCCATCTTCATCAGCTTGAAGATCTGCAAATGATAAACCATTACTGGAAACCACTGGAGACTGTCTTTCAGCATTTACAGACAGAACTCTTTGCTTCAAAATATTATCTTCACACTTTTCTAATTAAAGATTGAGCTTTTTTTTATTTCAGTTTTTATTTCTGTTTATTTGCATAGATGCGTAAATAATTGCATGCATTTAATATTATCCAAAAAAAGGTTTTAACACAGGGTTCATTTATATATATATATATATATATATATATATATATATATATATATATATATATATATATATATATATATATATATATATATATACTTGTATATATTAAGAAAAAGGAGTTCTTTTGGATTACGTTTAGATTACTTTTGCAAGTTGTAATTTGTAATCAGTTACTAATCTGCCCATTTCTATATACAACTGAGCTAGCATAACAACACCAATCTAAATGAAATCCAAAAGTTTATATTTTTCACTTGACTGAGTGTAATTAACCGAGTGCAAACTCTAAATATAATCCAAAAGAGCTAACTTTTTTTTAACATTTAATCAAGCGAAAATTACTTTGCATTACAAAAGTAATCTATATGTACTCCAAAACACTCATTTTTCAGGATTGATTAAGTGAAAATAACCCTCATCATCACAAAAGTAATCTATAATTCCAAATGTATTAAAATTCTATTACAGACCACAAATTATCATGTAGTTTGTAATCAGTAACTGATCTACTCAGCTCTATATATAGATAATACATTTTTATTTTTAAGCAAAAATTTGAAAATCACAAAAGTAATCTAAATGTAATCCACAAGCATACATTTTTCACTTGAGTGTAATTAACTCCAAGCCAAAGTAATCTAAATATAATCCCAAAAGCACAAATTTTCCCATTTAATTGAGTAAAAATCACTCTGCATCACAAAAGTAATCTCAATGTAATTCAAAAACACTAGTAATTCATTTACATGAAAGTAACTCTCATCATAACAAAAGTAATCCAAATGTATTCAGATTACATTATCATAAATGTGCTTTCTTAGAAATTACACTGTCTTGATCATATTACAGATGCCAAATTGTCATGTCATTTGTGATCAGTAATTGTGATTAATGACTAGTTGTCTGTATATTTCAAAAGCACTTTTTTATTTGACTGAGCAAGAATATCTGATCACCAAAGTAATCTAAATGTAATCCAATTGTGTTCAGATAACATTATGATAAATGTGTAATCTAAGAAATTTTATTACAGACCACAAAATGTCATGTAATTTGCAATCAGTAACTAATCTGCCCAGCTCTATATACAGTCAACTCATTTTTATATTTAAGCAAAAATTACTAAGCATCACAAAAGTAATCTAAATGTAATCCAAAAGCATACATTTTTCATTTAACTGAGCAAAAATATCTAAATGCAAAAGTAATATAAATGTAATCCAAAAAACTAATTTTCACATTTAAATTAAGCAAAAATGACTCTGCATCACAAAAGTAATCTAAATGTAATCCAAAAGTACTCCTTTCTCATTTGACTGAAGAAAATAATCTAAATGTAATCCAAAAAAACTAACTTTCACTTTTAAGCAAACATTATTTTGCATCACAAAAGTAATCTAAATGTAATCCAAAAGAACTTTTAATTGAGCAAAAATTACTTTGCATCATAAGTAATCTAAATGTCATGCAAAATAACTTTTGCATTGAGATATTTATGCTCGATCAAATGAAAAAGTAATCTAAATGTAATCCAAAAGTACTCCTTTCTCATTTGACTGAAGAAAATAACTCATCATCACAAAAGTAATCTAAACAGATGTAATTTGTAATCAGTAACTAATCTACCCAGCTCTACATAGACAACTTATTTTTACATTTAAGCAAAAATTACTTTGCATCACAAAAGTAATCTAAATGTAATCCAAAATAACTTTTTTTTCATTTGATTGAGCATAAATATCTCAATGCAAAATTAATCTAAATGTAATCCAAAATAACTAACTTTCACTTTTGAGCAAAAATTACTTAGCATTACAAAAGTAGTTCAAATGTAATCCAAAAGTACTCATTTTTAATTAAACAAAAATATCTTAATGCAAAAGTAATCTAAATGTGATCCAAAATAACTAACTTTCCCTTTTGAGCAAAAATTACTAAGCATTACAAAAGTGTATAAATGTAATCCAAAAGTACTCATTTTTTAATTAAGCAAAAATATCTTAATGCAAAAGTAATCTAAATGTAATCCAAATGAACTAACTAAATTAACATCATCACAATGGTAATCTAAACCGATGTAATTTGTAATCAGTGAGTGTAATCTACGCAGCTCTATATACATACAACTCATTTGATGATGTAATTGAGCAAAAATAACTGCGCCATGGCATCCTCACCCTCATGAACATGTGTGATTTTTTTTGTCATGCAGTGTGATTTTTATACCTGTGCCTGAGCTTTATTAAACATGTCAGGCGTGGGCATCTCCAGCTCACGCTCCTCCGTCTGCGCCGTATCGTCGATATTCACCGCATGCAGAGAGCTTTCAGACAGAAACGTGTCGTAGATCAAACGCGCCTCTTTCTTCATCTGATGAACACAGGACATCATTTAGCAGTCATTTTCTCATTGTGAATGAACATTAAAATCATACACAGCACAGATCACACACACACACACACACACACACACACACACACACACACACACTAATCTCCAAAGCTTTAGTGAATATGAAGCTGGACTATTGTTGTGGTAGCCTGTGGTTTTGGAGAAGGACTTCTAATATGATAACACACCTCGTATCTTGTATTTAATCGTGTTCTAGAAATAAATGTTGCTGTTATCTGTCCAATATAAGCATATCAGCACAATGATGATTCAGTGCTGAACTGCGGTTGTCAAAAGTGCATTTTCAGGTTATTATATCACTTGTTTGTGTTATGTGCTTCAATTTGATGGTTGTTAAAACTATAATGGTGTGGTAACTGGATACATCAGTACACCAGATAAAAAGGAAGTGTTTTAGACACATCTTCATACATTTTCATTGAAAGCTACAGAGGTAAGCACTTACACGAAGCCCTTAAAGGGATAGTTCACCCAAAAATTTAAATTCTGTCATTATTATCTCTCGTTTCATGTAGTTGTTTATAATTTGTAAAACACAAAAGAAGATATTTTGAAGAATGCTGGAAACCTGTAACCCCTAGGTCTCAAACTCAATTCCTGGAGGGCCGCAGCTCTGATGATACTGGTGTTATCTATCAGTCAGAAATCAGTCAGTTCGTTGAGAGGTGTGATAGAAATGAGCTAAAACAAAATACTAAGAAAACAGAAGAGATGGAATTTGACCCAAAGTGTAGAGGTGACCATCGTCTACAGGTTGTACATGACCATCCTATCACTGTCAGAAACCTATAAGTACTTGGGCATTTACGTCGACAGTTCTTTCACTTGGAAAACACACATTGAGTGGGTTTGTTCTCGTTTACACCAGAGATTGTATTTTTTGCAGAGGTTGCATCTTTTTGGAGTTAACAAGAAGCTCATGATGTTGTTTTATAAAGCAGTTCTTGAAAGCATTGTCAGGTATGGCATCACAGTGTGGTTTGGCAACCTATCTGTTCAGTGTAAAGCTAAACTGATGCATCTCTTAAAGACAGCATGGAAAATTGTCAATGAATATCTTAATCCTCAAGTTTTATATGAGAACTGTGTCCTCAATCAGGTGGAAAGGATTGTAAACGATCCAACTCATTTTTTGTTTCCACATTATGAACTGCTTCCCTCTGGTAGAAGATATAGAGTCCCAAAGTGTAGGTTAAACCGCTATAAGAGATCCTTTGTACCTGTTCCAGTGGGTTTATTTAATAAGAGTCTATCTTAATTAGTATTATACATTTTGTAATTGTTGTATTTTGTATTGTTTTTTATTGTTTGTTTAATTGAATGTCTGCAGCAATATGGCGATGCCCATGACAAATCTCCTGTCAAGGACAATAAACTTTTACTACTACAGTTTTGCTTCAACCCTAATAAAACACAGCTGATCCAACTAATCAAGCTGTTCAAGACTACTAGATCAGCTGTGTTGTATTGGGTTGGAGCAAAACTGTGCAAAGCCGCGACCCTCCAGGAATTGAGTTTGAGACCTATGCTGTAACCATTGACTTCCATTTGTTTTTCATACTATGGAAATCAATGCTTGCTGGATTTCAGCATTCTTCAAAATATCTTCTTGTGTGTTCACCTGAAGAAGGAAACTCATAAAGGTTTGAAATGACTTGAGGGAGAGTACATTGAGTACATTTTTACTTTAGGGTGAACAATCCTGTTCAAGTCCACCATTCCAGGTCTATACAAAATTTAGCATTTTTACCGACAGTACAGCTACACAAAGCCTATTGCTTTACCGCACGTTTGAGAATAGCAATAATAATAGCCAATTCACTTATAATCTTTATTTTACATCGACAGAATCGTGAGAAAATCTTTATTTAGGCAACAAAAAAAAAATCCTGATTCTCTTTTTAGCCAGAATCGTGCAGCTCTAAGTTGAGGTCATAATTATTCACCCCCTTTGAATTTCGTTTTGTTTTCTTTTTCTTTTTTTTATATTTCCCAAGTGATGTTTAACAGAGCAAGGAAATTTAGACAGTATGCCTGATAATATTTGTTCTCCTGGAGAAAGTCTTATTTGTTATTTCGGATATCAATATTAATTGAAAATAATTTTGGTCAATATTATTAGCCCCTTTAAGCTATATACTTTCGGTAGTCTACAGAACAAACCATCGTTATAAAATATACCTCCTCTAGTCGGCTCGTGGGGATTTTCTTGAACTTCTCGCAGGCTTGATAGAAGAGAATATTCTCAGCACTGACCTCAGATCTGAGAAACTCCTGCAAGACATAAGACAAGAGTTAAAGTGAAGTGAGTTTTTCCTTCAAACAAGCTGAATAATCTGCCAGTGGGGTCAGCAAATTAAACTTGATTTTCCTTTGGACCAACAATTATTTGGTTTGTTTGGGAAAAACTCACTTAATTTTGACACTTTATTTCTGAAAACAGGACACTAATTTCTGCTGGTCTAGAAATGCTTATTAATTTAGGATTTTTAAAAAATATTTAGACTAGAAACAAGACAAAATCTCTTAAATATGAAAAGCATTTTTGGCAGCGTATCATCAGTCGTACATGCTTTTGTGAATCTGCAACGTGCAAACGCAGACAACTACCCTCTGTAACCTGAAATGTTGATCTGTTCAAGCTTGAGTAAAGTCATAATGTCATTATGCAAATGTCAAACAGCAATAAAACATCACTTTGAGAAATAATAGGAGACCCGTCTTTAACAAGCTGCATGACTGTGAATATTAATGCACACTTAAAAAGTTTGCTCTGTCTTCATGTTTCAACTGAGATTACATAAAAGATTGAATTTGAAATGTACATTTTTTTAAAGCACTTTTAATGTGGACCTATTAGGCAGAAATCACTTTTATAAGGGGATTAAACCAAGTTGTGTGTCAGCAGTGTGTGAATATCTCCAGCTTCTATTGGTGAACATGAATTAATTGTATTTGTTTATAACCAGACTGAATCTGCAGTCTGCAGAAGTACTTTGATTGACATTCTTTCTTTGTACGTGTCATCAGAGGGGGACAGCCCTGCCCACATCTCTCCATCTCATTAGCATAAACAGCAGCCCTGAGTGGGAAGCAGCCGTCTGTCCATTAGCCATTCGAGTGTTTGAGCTGCTGAAGATCATGTCAGCATAGACTAAGAGGATTATAGATGTGGAGTTCTAGATGAAGTTCAAATGAACACATGCAGATAACGTTAATCCTGTTTTGAATCTGTCACTATGCTGACTAGACATTTGTAGCTCCGCCTACTCTTGAAAAAGAGCACAAACTCATTTGCATTTAAAGCGACAATGACCAAAACCCCACAATTAGAATCAAAGCACAAAAAGGGTCCGTTTCAGAGCTAGAAAACGTTATCTGTGTGCTATTTACAGCTCAAACTTCACTACACACAGGAAATTTACTTTACATCTGGTAAAAATGGAAATCATAGGTCTCCGTTAAGATCTGTTAAGAAAAAAATATCTGTATTTTAAAGCGATGAAGTAAAACGTACAGTAAAGTACCGCACTCCGACATGGTCTTCAAGCAGGTGTTCGAAACAGACAGCCCAGCTGACCACACGACTGGCCGGACCGTCAGCCGCCTGCGAACCACCTGACCTGCTGGAGCTCTCTGATAGGCTAGAGCTGCTGCCACAGCTGGACAACCTCAGGTTTAGTTCTGTGCACGCAAACACAAAGCAGAGAGATGTTCACACAGTCATGGACAAAGTATTGAAGTATAATTATGATGACAAATTAAACATTTAATATGCCCTCCAAACTGTGAATGAACTTCAAACTGATTTATTTTTTCTAATGTTGGGGTGTTTTTGTTTAAAAAAACTATTTTTTTCTGCTGTTAAAATGGCATTTCAGGAGGGTTAAAAGAGAAGTCTTTCTAAATATTGCCCTATTTATAAATAGAAAAAGAAGACATACGATATCCTGTGCTCCTTGAAGAGCAGAAAAAAAACTTCAACAATATGAGATAAACTAAGAACATGACACACTTTTCCTTGTCTGCCTCAAATAAACTCTGGATAAGAGAAATATTTTTGTGTTACACAATTTAAAAAGCATTTAACAATTCATTTTATAACTTACATGACTTACCGGCCACTTTATTAGGTACACCTATCAACTGCTCATCAACGCAAATTTCTAATCAGCCAATCACATGGCAGCAGCTCACTGCATTTAGGCATGTAGACATGGTCAATACAATCTGCTGCAGTTCAAAGTGAGCATCAGGATGGGGAAGAAAGGGGATTTAAGTAACTTTGAACGTGGCATGGTTGTTGCTGCCAGACGGGCTGCTCTGAGTATTTCAGAAACTGCTGATCTACTGGGATTATCACGCACAACCATCTCTAGGCTTTACAGAGAATGCTCTGACTAAGAAGAAATCTCCAGTGAGCGGCAGTTCTGTGGGCGCAAATGCCTTGTTGATGAGGCCAGAGGTCAAAGGAGAATGGCCAGACTGGTTCCAGCTGATAGAAAGGCAACAGTAACTCAAATAAGCACTCGTTACAACCGAGCTCTGCAGAAGAGCATCTCTGAACACACAACACGTCCAACCACGACCACACCGGGTGCCGCTCCTGTCAGCTAAGAACAGGAAACTGAGGCTATAATTCACACAGACTCACCAAAACTGGACAATAGAAGATTGGAGAAACGTTGCTGCTCTGATGAATCTCCATTTCTGCTCACACATTCAGATGCTCGGCTCACAATTTGGCCTCAACAACATGAAAGCATGGATCATCCTGCCTTGTATCAGCGGTTCAGGCTGGTGGTGGTGGTGTAATGGTGTGGGGGAGATTTTCTTTGGGTCCATTAGTACCAATTGAGCATCAACGCCACAGCCTACCTGAGTATTGCTGCTGACCATGTCCATCCCTTTATGAGCACAGTGTCTCCATCTTCTGATGGCTACTTCCAGCAGGATAACGCAGCATGTCATAAAGCTCAATCATCTCAGACTGGTTTCTTGAACATGACGATGAGTTCACTGTACTCAAATGGCCTCCACAGTCACCAGAGCTCAATCCAATAGAGCAGCTTTGGGATGTGGTGGAACGGGAGATTGTGTGATGCTATCATGTCAATATGGAGCAAAATCTCTGAGGAATATTTACAGTATCTTGCTGAATCTCTGCCATGAAGGATTAAGGCAGTTCTACACTATATTCTCAGAAAGAACGACATGATATCCAGATTAGCAATTAAATACATTTACACTTTTAATATATTAAAAATAGATAATAAATTAATATATTTACAACATTTAATTCATTTACATGATTGAACATAGCCTAACCCATTTACACGTGTCTGTTTTGATACATACATACACATACACATATTTATATATTTCCTATTATTAATTACTCATTTATTTATTACTTTGAAAATAGAATTGAATACAGTATTCTATACATTGTTAACATGCTTTAATATCTAATCAAACCCCTAAATAAGTAAAAAAAAATAAAGTTAATATTTTAAAATAACAAACAAACATCACACATACACTGATTTACAGCACATTTACTTTCAAACATCTACATATTATTTACCTGTTAACAGTGTGTACATTATTAATATACAAACATATATATACACTAGACTTATTGACAGCACCGGTCAACCCAGTATTATTCAAAAGAAGAGTGTGTGTGTGTGTGTGTGTGTGTGTGTGTGTGTGTGTGTGTGTGTGTGTGTGTGTGTGTGTGTGTGTCTGTGTGTGTCTGTGTGTGTCTGTGTGTGTCTGTGTGTGTCTGTGTGTGTGTGTGTGTGTGAGAGTAAATAAGACAAAGATGTGTAAGATGTGCACACTGTGGTCTCTCTGTCTGACATGATGAAGTAAATGACACTCACCGCCATCAGAAACCGCCTGAGTCTGCAAACACACATACACACACAGTCAGTAAAGCAGGAGGTGTATGGAGGTCTACACAGTACAGCAATCATGAATTAAAGAGGTGTCAGGAAATCACACACAAAAAACAGCTGTGTATTTCTGTGAACCGAACACACACACACACACACTGACAGGAAATGGGTGTGTCTGACGTTATACACAACATTAGACACGGGTCTGACAACACACACACACACTTTTATTGTTACTCAAGAACCTTGTTGCGGGTTTTTCTTCTTTAGCAAGCACTCTATATAAAGACACATCATTGACTATTTAGGTGAAGCTAGGACCTACAGTATAAGTGTATTTGAAAAGATCAAAATGAGGAACACACTATCTATCTATCTATCTATCTATCTATCTATCTATCTATCTATCTATCTATCTATCTATCTATCTATCTATCTATCTATCTATCTATCTATCTATCTATCTATCTATCTATCTATCTATCTATCTATCTATCTATCTATCTATCTATCTATCTATCTATCTATCTATCTATCTATCTATCTATCTATCTATCTATCTATCTATCTATCTATCTATCTATCTATCTATCTATCTATCTATCTATCTATCTATCTATCTATCTATCTATCTATCTATCTATCTATCTATCTATCTATCTATCTATCTATCTATCTATCTATCTATCTATCTATCTATCTATCTATCTATCTATCTATCTATCTATCTATCTATCTATCTATCTATCTATCTATCTATCTATCTATCTATCTATCCAACCATCCATCCGTCTGCCTGTGTCTGTCTGTCCATTCTTCCATCCATGCATCCATTTGTCTGTCTATCAATATACCATCCGTCTATCTATCTATCTATCTATCTATCTATCTATCTATCTATCTATCTATCTATCTATCTATCTATCTATCTATCTATCTATGTATCTATCTATCTATCTATCTATCTATATATCTATCTATCTATCCATAAATCCATCCATCCGTCTGCCTGTCTGTCTGTCTGTCTGTCCATCCTTCCATCCATCCATCCATTTGTCTGTCTATCAATATACCCATCCGTCTATCTATCTATCCGTCCGTCCGTCTGTCTGTCTATTTATCTATCTACCTATCTATCTACCTATCTACCTATCTATCTATCTATCTATCTATCTATCTATCTATCTATCTATCTGTCTGTCCGTCCGTCCGTCCGTCCGTCCGTCCGTCCATCTGTCAATCAATATATCCGTCCATCCATCTATCTATCTATCCATCTATCTATCTATCTATCTATCTATCTATCTATCTATCTATCTATCTATCTATCTATCTATCTATCTATCTATCTATCTATCTATCTATCTATCTATCTATCTATCTATCTATCTATCTATCTATCTATCTATCTATCTATCTATCTATCTGTCTGTCCGTCCGTCCGTCCATCTGTCAATCAATATATCCGTCCATCCATCTATCTATCTATCTATCTATCTATCTATCTATCTATCTATCTATCTATCTATCTATCTATCTATCTATCTATCTATCTGTCCGTCCGTCCGTCCATCTGTCAATCAATATATCCGTCCATCCATCTATCTATCTATCTATCTATCTATCTATCTATCTATCTATCTATCTATCTATCTATCTATCTATCCGTCCTTCCGTCCGTCTGTCTGTCTATCTATCTATCTATCCATCCATCTGTCCATCTATCTGCCTGTCTGTCTATTAATATATCTGTCCGTCTATCTATCTGTTCATCCTTCCGTCCATCTATCTGCCTGTCCACCCGTCCATCCATCCATCTATCTATCGACACAGTTGGAAAGTAGAAAAACAAGTTATTTTGATTACAGTTTTCAGTAACTCCACAGTCGCCAGAGCTCAATCCAATAGAGCAGCTTTGGGATGTGGTTGGAATGGGAGATTGGCATCATGGATGTGCAGCCGACAAATCTGCAGCAACTGTGTGATGCTATCATGACAATATGGAGCAAAATCTCTGAGGAATATTTCCAGCACCTTGCTGCATCTATGCCACGAAGGATTAAGGCGGTTCTTAAGGCAAAAGGGGTCCAACCCGGTACTAGTAAGGTGTACCTAATAAAGTGGCCGGTGACTATATATCACCCATACATAAAAACAATCGTGCAATATCTCTATAGTATAGTAAATTACTATAGTATACTTTCATGTGGGTGCCAGACAAATTAAAATACATATTTTAGCAGATTTTGCAGTCTCTGTTACTTTTTTGTTTACATTTATTATTATTTATTTAAGATATGCAATGTAAAAAATGACTATAATTAAATGAAATATTATGAGGAATAAAATACTATGTGCTTTTTGGAAGAGTGTACTTGCATTGTGATGCAATTATACTGTCATTATGGCATTTTATAATGGCATAAAACGACGATAATATTGATTATCGCAATGTATCTTGGTGCAATATATCCTACAACCAAAAATAGATATCATGAAAGGTCTAACTGGCATGATTTTGTAGGACTGATAATCTGTATCAATCGAACAGACTATATTATCTGGATTTCTGGACGGTCTACAGTACTCACGTACAGAAATTAATGTATCCAATGTAAATAAATGACACTGCATAGCCTTCGGTGTCTAAAAACCAACATCTTTGATAAAACTTACACACAAATGGTTTAAATACACTTGAAATTTCAGGTATAGGGATTAAAAACAAATCAAAACAGCTAATGCAAAACTTTCACTCTATTAAAGTTTAAACTTCACAGATGGTTACAACTATATTCGCCACTCAAACGTCCTCCTAATGGATGAATAAACCAAAAACTGAACTGACATAGTAAATAATGCACATTTTTGGATTAAACTGTCTCTTTAAGATCATAAACCCACAAATCAAGCATCTCCTAACTAATTCACACCCAAACGAAGCATCATTAGGCCTGAATGGACTCACCATCAGACCCGTGGGCACTGCCAGACTGCTCATTTTCTTGGACATGTCCTCATCAGGTTGGCAGGACTGTGCCCACAGCGAAAGCGACTCTCTAAAACCTCCTCTCAAACAAACACACCGCCTGCTGAGTCTCTTTCTTACAGCTCTGTCACTTCCTGTTTGAAAGGGAAGTCCTGCCATGGCAACACACCGCAAGAGGAACTGTGGTTGCTCTGACTAAAACCTCTTTCTTGAGAGCCAGCAACCTCTGCGTGCTACGAGACCCACACTACGGCCCACCTGACCTTGTGTTTATCCATTTTAATGAATGGAGCAATGAGAAAACTCAATATACCACCAGAGCGGATAACCGCAACAGGTTATAGGAGCCACAGCCTTACTTAACCAGCACCAACCACCAGTTTCACATGGAGACATCAACAACTGGCAGGAGATGTTGAAAGGACACATTCATAGCGCACTAAGAGGAATTAAGCAATCGTTTATAACCATGTGTCATAGTGTGATGTCAAACAGGCAGTGAGAAGTAAATATTACTCTGGAAAATAATAGTAAGAATTAAATATATGATTGCATAATGTATGACAGGTGAAATTATTTTTTAAAATTATATAAATAGTTCATTACATCACAACATGACTCTCGATTGGCTCAACTGAATATTTATTTATTTATTTATTTTTTGGAGAGGAAGTTTAAAATAAAAATATATATGAAAAGTATATTTGAAAATATGAACACAAATATAAAGCACTTTTAATTGAAAATTAATAAATACAAACAAATAAATAAGCAAAACCCAAAACAAAGTACCTACACAGGCGCTTTCCACCTGATTTGGCAACTTCCGGTTCATTATAAGCTCTAAAGTAAACATCTAGAGTAATAAGTAGATAAAAAAACGTATATCTGATTACAATGCTATATTAAATTGATAAAATAGCAAAAACTGAACAATATTAAGCTGCAAAACGAGCTCTGTGTGTGTTTGTAAATGAAACTTAAACAGAACTCGTGTACACCGGAAGTCTCGCACATTCAAATTGCAAATGGCGGTTCATACGAGAAAAATATAGTGGCTTATAATCAATAAATCGAAGACTTCATTGAATAAAACAGACTATTTCAGCGTACACTCACCTGACACTCGCTGGAACGCATCTTCAGCACGCGGCTCTTGTTGAATTTGATCTGTAAAGATGCTCCTCGGGCCAGCCGACAGAAGCTTTGGCTTATAGCTTTTATCGCCACCATAATAACAATAATAATATTGTATACAGTGGACAACACAGAAACTGTAAGATTTACCTTAATCCCGTGATTTTGACGCGCCTCAAATTCAAACAGGTGATATAATCAGCTGACGCACATGCGCAGAGCGCTCAGAGAACGGTTGTTGTTAGAAGGGATACAGCTGCGGTCTTAAGTTGACGACAATTATTTATACTATTTATAAAATTAATCAATAAATTGTATTTTATTAGCGTCGATTCCTACCCCAACCAACGCAGTTATGTAAATAGGGTAATTATACAGAGTACTCATATTATTTATTAAATTACTCATTTGAATTTTAATTAGCGTCTACCCCAACCCTCACAGTAATGTAAAAAAAGACTAACTATACCTATTATTATTCATATTATTTATTAAATTACCCATTAAATTGTATTTTATTAGCGTCTACCCCTACCCAAACCCTAAACCCAACCAACACAGTATACTGATAGAATAATTATACAGAGTATTCATATTATTCATGAAATTACACATTAAATTGTATTTTATGAACGTCTATCCCCAACCCTGAGTAACTAAAAATATTAACTATTGTAGGCTACAGTGTCAAAAAAATGTGCTATATTGATGTGCGGATCCACAGCTGTATCTCGTCTAGACTTTACCTCAGAGGACGTCAATAGCTCTCCGTATTTGATAATATATTCATTTTGCTGACACCTGCTTAATCAGATGAAAAATGATTTTATTTTGTTGTTATATAGGCTAATCCATAGACTATAAAATAGGGCTAATCCCACCTTGTTAGCTATTAGCACAGAATTTTTAAGTGGCCTACAGTTGTTTCACCTTATAGCTTGTTCACTGGTGTTGTTCATGATGTTATCATATTGTGTTGATTATTTACATACAAACTCACGCCTGCAGCTTTCTTTTTTCCGTTTGGTGACTTTTATTTCCTCCATAAGGAGCCACTTTTTCATTACACAACGCCACTTAGCCAGAACAGCATCTGTACAGAGCTATGTGACATGTTAATCAGAGAAATACCCAAAAATATGTTTAGATTCAGTGTAGCATTGAGAGCTGTGTTTTTTGTGTGTGTTTTGTCTGTGTGCACATTGGCATAGATGCTATCTGGTGATCTGAGTACATGTTTCAGTCTTTCTTTAAATTTTTGAGTCTTTGAAACTGAGGTAAAGGTATTTATATTCACACAATCGGATTTTGGATTCAATAAAATCCTAAAGCAGACTTTAACAAGGCTAACATGCTGATTAATTCTACGAACTGTTATGAGCACAACTTCTGACTGACAGTCTTTATATTGTTTACTGCTACTTTGAATATCAGGTCAGAAATAGCATGACTCCAAAGCATTTAGCTTTAACTCCTGACAGCTACATTGATAGTCATTAGCTTCTACTATGATTTCACTATTTAGAATTACTAATTAAACTTTTCTGAAAGTATATTAAGAAGGTGAAAGTCTGAATACAACTTTACCCCATTAATGTAGAATTATAGAAGTGTGTATAAGAAATCTGGAGTATAATGCTGATACTAAATACAAAAGCTATAGCACATATAGGCTAATTACCATTATTCAATTTAATTTAAATGAATACAGTAATTAATTAAGAATAATTTACATTTATGTTTAAATTAGTCAACTTATAAGACATTAGGACACTTTATTGCAGGAGTAAATGAAGAAAGAGGGGTGACGTGATGACTAGTGGTCAACCAGCTAAAACCAGCCAACCAGCCGGCTGTTTTTTTCAGTAGGGTAGCACTGTCGTCTCACAGCAAGAAGGTCGCTGGTTCGAGTCTCGGCTGGGTCAGTTGGCGTTTCTGTGTGGTGTTTGCATGGTCTCCCTGTGTTGACATGGTGCTCCGGTTTCCCCCACAGTCCAAATACATGCGCCATAGGGGAATTATTAACTAAATTGGCCATAGTGTTTATATGAAGTCGGAAGTTACAGTACTGAGTTTTAGCTGAAAGGGCATCTGCTGTGTAAAACATTTTCTAGAATAGTTGGTGGTTCATTCAGCTGTGTCAAGTCCTGATGAATAAAGGGACTAATAAGCCAAAGGAAAATGTATGAATCAATAAAGACATGGTCGTGAATCCAAAACTAAACATGTAATTGATTTCAAATGCAGCTCCCGTGTGCCTCATAAGCAAAGCAGTCGGCTCATACAGAAATATATTCATGTGTCACAGAGGAGATTTGCATGATTATCAGCGTGCACATCAGTAAATATGAGCATGAACAAGAGATCTGCTGTCAGACTGACGCTCTCTGACGCTTCACACAACAGGTGAAAGGCTTCTTTATACATTATATATGTATAATAATCTGCATTTTAGTGTTCAGAATTATAGATAAATGTTGTAAAAAGTGACTTATTGTCATTATTATTAGTTTGCAGTGCTGTATTGTCTGGGTTGGTGTTGTATATTATGCTACAAGTACATTTTCAGAAATTTTACACACTTCTCTATTTCTTAAACATTACATTATTTCAAGCGACTAAAATGTCAATAAAAGTCACTTTGTTAAACTGTGAAGTTGAATTCTCAGCATCAGAAGTGGACGAAGCGAAGATCAACATCCCACAATGCAATTCACAACCACAAATAAACCCAAAACATATATATATTTTACAGTGTATAAAGTACAGATGATGTGTTATTTAGGATTATATTTAATGTCATTTGTAAACAGATTGAATGTGAACGCAGCTTTCTTCATGCTTGTTTGTTTGTTTATTAAATGACTTATATGATGAGGAAATATTTTAGAATTAAAACATTGCATTGAGAGCAGATAAACAGGGATTTTTGTGTGTTTTCTGAATGACAGGACGAGGAATCATGAGGGAGTTTGTTGTAACGCTGCTCATCGCTGTCTGTTTTTATCTCGGTGAGTATTTCATTACTAGTTAAAGCTTTATATACTTCATATGATATCAAGAAGGGCAGCACGGTGGCTCAGTGATTATAGCCGAGCTCAAGTCCCGGCTGGGTCAGTTGGCGTTTCTGTGTGGAGTTTGCATGTTCTCCCTGTGTTGGCATGGGTTTCCTCCTGGTGCTCCGGTTTCCCCCACAGTCCAAACACATAAATTGGGCGTAGTGTATGAGTGTGGGTGTTGAGGCTGGAAGAGCATCCGCTGTGTAAAACATATGCTGGAATAGTTGGCAGTTTATTCCGCTGTGGCGACCCCTGAAGAATAAAGAGACTAACCCGAAGGAAAATGAATTAATTAATGAAACGATGACAGGAAAAAGAAGACCCTGAGATTAGATATTGCAGGAGGATTAGATTTTATTTTGAGTTAACAGTTTAGTTTGGATTTAACTAAATGAACGTTTTGTGATCTTGTCAGTTTGTTTTTTTGATGTCCATACATTTTTTTAAATTTGTACATTTATATATTATTTATTTTTGTGTTTATTCATTTATGTATTTGTGTTTTTTATTGTTTATTATTTGTATTTATAATTTATTACTGTGTTAATTATTTTTGTGTGTTTTTGTTATTTTTTGTTATAATTCATTTTTGTATTTATTATTTGTATTTTATTATTTATTTTATATTTATTATTTGTGTTTATTATTTATTTTTTATTACATGTGTTTATTATTTTTATTTTATTTATTATTTGTGTTTATTATTTATTTGTGTTTATTTATTTTTGTATTTATTATTTGTGTTTATTATTTATTTTTGTGTTTATTATTAATTTTTTTATTTATTACATGTGTTTATTATTTATTTTTATATTTATTTTTTTGTGCTTATTATTTATTTGTATTCATTATTTATTTTTGTATTTATTATTTGTGTTTATTATTAATTTTTATATTTATTATTTGTGTTTATTATTTATTTGTGTGTTTATTTATTTTGTTTATTTGTCTACTGTTGAACACAAAACGAGATATTTTGAAGAATGCTGGAAAAAAAGCAGCCATTGATATCCATAGAGAAGCAAGGTGCTAAACATATATTGAAAGTCAATGGCTGTTTTCTTACAGCATTCTTTAATTCAGTGTTTCTCAACCACATTCCTGGAGGACCAACAGCTTTGCACAATTTCTACGTCTCCTTAACCAAACACACCTGATTCATGTCATCAGCTCATTAGCAGAGACTGAAAGACCTATGATGGGTGTGACAGATAAAGGAGACATCCAAAACAAGCAGTGTTGGTTGTGCTCCAGTAACATGGTTGAGAAACACTGATTTAGTATATATTTCCATCTTTAATTGTGATGATAATAATATTTAATCCTCTCTCTCTCTCTCTCTCTCTCTCTCTCAGCCATGGAACTGAAAGCATGTGATCTTAATGAATGTCTGATCTGTGATTTATATCCAGGTACAAATTCAGCTCTATTATCATCTATTATATTATACACTGTTGATTTTAACAGCCTATGTACAAATAATCTGATATATAAATACATGTTTTCCCTCAAGCGTCGTGTCCAGCATGCCTTCCCACATCACCAAACTGCAACATCAGTAAGTCTTGGACGAAATTCATTATCAGCAACAAGTTGGATATAATAAAATAAAATAATCTGATCTCCTTATCAATTCCTGCAGGTCTTCCAAACAACTGCACCATGAAAGGTAGAGTTATTCTGCATTTATACTATGGTGTCTGTTGATTCTAGTGTCTGAATAATGAGCAGGTTAGTGTATACTCCATCAGCTGCTTTCATCTGTTTGGCGCCATCTAGTGTCTGAATAATGCGCAGGTTAGTGTATACTCCATCAGCTGTTTTCATTTGTTTTTGGGTGTTTGGCACCATCTAGTGTCTGAATAATGAGCAGGTTAGTGTATACTCCATCAGCTGCTTTCATTTGTTTTTGGGTGTTTGGCGCCATCTAGTGTCTGAATAATGAGCAGGTTAGTGTATACTCCATCAGCTGTTTTCATTTGTGTTTTTGTCTGTTTGGCGCCATCTAGTGTCTGAATAATGCGCAGGTTAGTGTATACTCCATCAGCTGTTTTCATTTGTTTTTGGGTGTTTGGCGCCATCTAGTGTCTGAATAATGCGCAGGTTAGTGTATACTCCATCAGCTGTTTTCATTTGTGTTTTTGTCTGTTTG